AGATAATTTACTGTTCAAAATTGATTAGAAATAGAACTTGGATAGTGTCCTAAGTTTTTGGGAAGTACGAGCCGGCGAGTATATCCAGTTAAAGCAAAAAGGACACAGGAAGTCGATCTGACCTATTCTTAAGACAATAAAGGTCAATCTTATTCACTCAGGAATCGATATACTTTAGGAAATGGAATCGACTGAATGATAGGTAGATTTCCTTTTCAAATGGGCAATGTTACGAAAGTGACAGTTATTGCAGTGGGAGTTTTCTATGTATATAGATTATTTGGTTTTGAATAATTATCTTTGCGTACCAAGTGTTAGAAAGAATTCACTTTCAGTTTCTAAATTGTGTATGAATATATTCGTTTTGTTTGACGGCAAGTTTGTTGTCTAATAAATGGAACAATTATTCATTTGGTACGTGGGTAGATAATAGTTGATTCAAGTAACCAAAAGTTCTCACAAGTGCAATAAATGGAAGTAAGTGACACAACGACTAAAACCAATAAGAGACAAGGTCTCTTGGGTACATTGGTTAAGTTAGTGATGAGTTACTAAGAATTTCCAGTTTTTTTGTTTTTGGGGTTGTGCGGATAATGGCAAGAGTTCTGAGCATAGTGCAATCTAAGATTAGTAGCTTCTACTTCGAATTGATTATGGACAAGGTTGAAAACCTGTCAGAAAATTTTCGAATGTGGAGTATTTTTGGCACTGGCTGAAAAGTTAATACTGATAAGATTGGAATGTAGCTCGGAAAATTCGGCTATTTTGTGGGATACTCCATAGTAACGAAAAGTTGGTTTATTTACAGTACTAAGAATCAGAAGGTGATTGCTAAAACGAATGCCTGTTTTTAGAGAAATACTGAGTGATAAACCACAGGCCCATTTGTAGAGTTGTCATAAGGAAAGATAGAGGTGAAAGTTCAATCTTCGTTACAGCGTGTATAAATTGTTATACCATGAATAGACTGCAAACACGTGTCTCTTATAATACACTTTACCAGAGGTACTTTATCG